TCATTCGTTCATTCATTTTTCAAAATAAAACCAAAAATAGGAAAACGAAAAAAAAAAACAACTGTTTCCTTCAATATTTGTCTCCAAAACCAAAATGAAAAAATGGATAACGATTAATTTTTTCGATTTTTTGTATAAATAAATAATGGAAAAAACGGATAATGGCGTTTCCCATTTCCATGAATTAAACTGAGATGCCGGACTTTTGTGCCACATATGGACTGAACCAGGACTGAACCAGGACTAAACCTTTTTCAGTCTTGGTCTGGTCCCAGTCTCAGTCCTGGTCTCAATCCTGGTCTCGATCCCTGTCTGGTCCCGGTCTCGGTCCTTGTCTGGTCGCAGTCTTGGTCCCGGTCTGGTCTCGGTCTGGTCCCGGTCTGGTTCCGGTCTCAGTCTTGGTCTCAATCACGGTCTGGTCCTGGTCTGGTCCCGGTCTCAGTCCTGGTCTGGTCCTGGTCTCAGTCCCGGTCTCAGTCCCGATCCTTGTCTGGACTCAGTTCTTGTCTGGTCCCGAACCTGGTTTAGACCTGATTCAGTCGTTATCCACTTTTTATCACTTTTTTTCCATTATTCATTTAAACACAAAATTTAAAACTGAAAAAAATAAAAATAAAAAATCATTATCTGTTTTTAAAAATTTTGGTATTGGAGACAAATAATAAAGAAAACACTTGTTTTTTTCGTTTTCTTATTTTTGGTTTTATATTGAAAAACAAATAAAAGAATGATATACGGATTTATGAGCCTGTTAATACATATCATCATACATATCATTTAGTCATATTCGTCTTTGTTTACATCTGATTTTCCGTTAAAGTTAAATCCCAGTTATGTGTGACAGTTAAAAGAAAATAAAACAAACAGCTCAGACTGCTCACACCAATGACTTGAGTGCTCACAAAGTTAAATGATCAGACAATAAACTTCTCCCGTTACAGCTCATCCCTAAAAAAAACGACTCTTGTTTACTATGAGTCACTGTAGTACTTTCCTACTTCATGTAAACTTGTATATAAACTGCATGACCTCTGCGATCTGTCAGCTCACTCGTCGCAAACACAAACAGCTGTAAAGTGCTTCTGTTAGTCACTCTCCCATAAACCGCAACACATCATCACTGATTTACGGCGCAATAAAATGACAAGTTTCTTCTAAACACCTGGTTGTACGGTGACAGGTGGGAGCGGCTCAAATCAAAACCTGCGCGGGGGAGGTTTGATTCCCGCTCGGGCCGAATTGCGCTGTTGTGTCCTTAGGCAAGACACTTCAGCTTCCTCGCCTTTCCTTGTGAATGTGGCGTGGGAGTGAGCGTCGGTGTGTCAGAGGTGGCAGCGGCGCAGATTGGCAGCTTCACTTTTATGTTAATTTACCCCAGGGCAGCTGTGGCTATAAGTCGTCTACAAACGCTGAATTGTTCCCATAGCAATCTGTCCTCTGCGTTTGACCCGTCCATCAGGTGGTCTGGGGGAACTGAGAGCAGCAGAGAACCCAGGAACCATCTCCAGATCTTATGCTCGGCTCGGCCTGGACTTGTTTGTTTATAAATGTTCTTCAAACTTTTTTACACCAAGTACTACCTGAGAAGATAAGAGTGACTTTTGAGTACAACCAGATATAGACCAGTTCTAAAACAGAGCTATTCGAGATCTAAAACAGGTCTAAAAAAAAAGACTATTTGAGATCTAAAATAGGATTATTCGAGATCTAAACCAGGACTATTTTTGAACTAAACCAGGTCTAAACCAGGACTATTGTACATCTAAACCATGTCAAAAAAGTGATTATCTGAGATCTAAACCAGTTCTAAAACAGGACTAAAAGAAAGACTATCTGAGATCTAAACCAGGCCAAAAATGGAATTATTCCAGATCTAAACCAGGTCTAAAACAGGATTATTCTAGATCTAAACCAGTTCTAAAACAGGACTATTTTAGATCTAAAACAGGTCTAAAAGAAAGACTATTTGAGATCTAAAACAGGTCTAAACCAGGACTATTCTATACCTAAACCAGGTCTAAAAGAGGATTATTCTAGACCTAAACCAGGTCTAAAACAGGATTATTTGAGATCTAAACCAGGTCTAAAAGAGGAGTATTCTACATCTAAACCAGGTCTACACCAGGATTATTCTAGATCTAAACCAGGTCTAAACCAGGACTATTCTAGATTAGGGATATAACAATAACCAAAATATCGTGATATCATATCGTCAAAAGTCATCGTCAAAATGTTTTTTTTTACTGTCATAATTTCAAGAATTCAAGTAAAATCGTATCTCTTCATGTTGTTTGCACCAAAATGAATCATGGGATATGTAGTTCCTAATGTTTTAAGATGTTGCTACTATAAAACCATGCATTTAAGCAAAGGAACTTGTGATTCAATATATTATTGTGAGACTTTTGACGATACGATATCACGATATTTCGGTTATTGTTACATCACTAATCCATAATTATCCTGTTTTAGATTATGATGGAAATATTTCACACCAAAATCTTGTCAAGGTATTTTAAAAGCAAAAAAGTGTCCTATCTACAGTTATATTAGCCTCTTCAAAATATCGCAATAAATATCGTACCGTGAGATGCATATCATGATAGATGAGAGATTTGAATATCGTTACATCCCTATTCTAGATCTAAACCAGGTCTAAAATAGAAATACATAGTTGGTATACTGGTTCTAAAGAGGACAAATTGGGAATATAATCAATAAATATCAGAAATATTTGATTTTTAGATGAGCTTGTGCACCACCTGAAGGACCTCACATACCATCGTTTGAGAAACGCTGGCCTATATTATATTTCTGACCACCAATTTTCTTCATTCTTTTTATTAATTTAGCGTATTATACCACAATAGACCTTCAGAGCTCAAAATTTGAATTATTTATCCTCTCAGAGAACAGGGACGTGCCTCTTTATGCTGTGTATTTTTCATGACCTATGCCAAGCACCGCACAATAAGACCTGTCCATGAGTCACAGCGGCTCCGACATCGGCGAATGTGAAACCCAATCACCTGAAATCCAATTCACTTCATACAGAGCTGCACCGCGTCCCGTCTGGACCCAGGCTTTAATAACACAGGGCGGGTCAGGTGACGAGATACGCCCTTGGGTGCTAGGTTAACCGGCGAATACATGGGAATAACATTATCACAGCTGCACATCTAAAGAGCATTGTTACCGGCAGAGTTTTACAACAGTATTTTTATGTCTTTATCAAAGTAACTAGGAAGTGTGCGTCATCTTTTTCCACAAGTGATGTAATCTGTAAAGTGCTGACTCATGTTGAGGGCAGAAGATGGTGATGCCTGAGAAAAATAAATAAATAAAATGATGTGGCCCATATTACACTATTTTCTGATCCATATATAATATTGTTTCCTCGGCTCAAACAGACCTGGATATGTGTTTTGCTTCATTCACTCATGTTTAACACTCTTCACTACTTCTCTTCTTGTTCCACCTTGTGATGTCATGTGGTAATACAGGAAGTGCTCCACTGTGTTTTTAAACTCCACACATCTCCACACTTTTAGATGATTTCAGCTCTGGAACTGACAATCTATACTGAACTAAAAGTTAAAGTAAAAAACTAAAGATAAGCGCTGTTGACTTGAAAACAACCACTACATGACATCACAAGGTGGAACAGAGCATTTTGAGCTTTGGTTGGTTATGTATGCATGTTTTTGGCTCCTATATTTGTTGATAAATTAAATGTCAGTCTAATAAAATTAAACTTTAAGCTATTTGGTACAGTGGTCACTAGGGGGGTGCAAAAATATCGAAATAACGATATCCATCCATCCATTTTCTTCCGCTTATCCGTGGCTGGGTCGTGAGGGCAGCAGTCTAAGCAGGGAAGTCCAGACTTCCCTCTCCACAGACACTTCCTCCAGCTCTTCCAGGGGAATCCCAAGGTGTTCCCAGGTCAGCCGAGAGACATAGTCCCTTCAGCGTGTCTTGGGTCTTCCCCGGGGCCTCCTCCCGGTGGGACATGCCCGGAACACCTCCCGAGGAAGGTGCCCAGGGAATAACGATCTATCATATTGTTTAAAGTGGTGATACAGTATCGATATTGGGGCTGCTGCATCGATATATCACCAAGAGTATTTTTTTGGTATATTTTACTAAATGATTTTGTTACAGAGCTACAGTTTTGTTGTTTGTTTAAAGGAAGGAATGCGACACATTTGACATTTTCACTGTTTTGATGATTAAAATGTTTGTGTTTCATTTTCACTTTGCGTAAGTGGTTTAACAAAGATTTAGCCTTTATTTTTTATTGAACCATATCGAATTGATTTGAAATATATCATATCAAATCATAAGCTCAGTGTAATAGGATATGTAACGTATTGTGGCCTATGTATCCAGGTATGTATCGTATCGGAAACTTCTTAATGATACCCAGCCCTCGTGGTCACATGTTACGGCATGCAAACTTTACATGCCTACAGTATATTAATGGGTTTCAATTTCCTGTTTGTAGGTGCCATTTTAAGGACTTAAAAATATTTTTGAATGGAAAACAAATAAGGGGGAAATAACTATTTATTTTGCACACCAATTAAGGTTTGGTATAGACCAAAAGACTAGTATTTCACTATGACAATGGTCCTAATTTCTCATCATTGTGGAGAGTTTTAAATCTCATTTTAAGACCCACTTTTATTCTCTGGCTTTTAACACCGCGTGAGTTGTGTGGCCCTATGTGTCTTTTCTTTACTTATTTATTGTATTTATCTACTTTATTTTAATGATACTGCTTTTATGTATTGATTTTATTATTTTGGTTCATTGATTTTATTATTATTTTATTTATTGATTCTATTAGTTTCCTCATAATTGAAACATAATTCTGCAGATTTTTTTTTAAGTAAAATGTTTTACACTGCTACGTGAAGCACTTTGGAAACTGTATGGTTTATAAATTGTGCTTGATTGGATCATTCAAAAATAAAAACATCTGCAACAAGAACAAGTCACTTAATAAGTATTTTATTTTCTTTAGAAAAAGAAACTATTACAATTTCATTTGGTTACTGTACAGTTTCTCTTCATAGTCACTCGGTCTGATAAAAGATTGGATTCATGCTGAACACCAAACACCCCTTTACAACTGCACACGGCTTTAGAATCGACATGACGCGGACGCTCTCCTCCACATCCTCTGCTTCTCACATTCGAACTGAAATAGAAACTGTCGTACAAAAGTGGTGAAGTGAAGTACAAATCCCTGACTTTAGAGTTTAGGGTTGTGTTTTTTCAGTGGTGGTCCGTTCAACATGCACCTGAACACAGGGCTGGGCGACAAAGCAGAAAATTCAAATCGCTAATTAATTTCTTGGAGCCTCTATCACGATTTCAGAGATCAAACGTCACTGTGATTGGCTACGTCCACCTGTCACTCAAGAGTTAGACAGAGGCTGACCAATAGGAGGAGTGGGTTGGGGAAAATTGCATTAAACAGAAAAGCATAGAATCATGGGTTTCAGCAAAAGCTACATTTTCATTCTGATCCCATCTAATATATGAAAAAAAAATCACAAAAACAGCATGTCATCACAGGGATCAGATATCACGATTTGAATTTTATCGCCGTGCCGCCCGGCCCTACCAGAAAGTCGTGTTTTTAGCTAGTGTCTGTGTGTGCATCAATACATGAGCACCATAGTTTCTAGTGAGGATTCTGCCCTACATGAGGCAGAGACAGTGGAGAGGGGGAAGAGAAAGAGAGAGAGAGACGAGGGGGGAGGAATCTAGGTCACATCGAGCCCCCTCATAAACTGCGCTCTCTCTTCCTCTTCCTCTCTCCAGCTCTCTCGGGTGAGGGACACTGGCATGCATGATCGAGGGCAGGGACGAGTGGAGCGAAGCTAGAGACCCTTCGATAAGTCATCAAAACAAAAAACTGAATGTGCATTTTGAGGGCAAGAAATTCGATTACACAGGTGGCAAAATGACTGGTTGGTGTGACAAAGATCTTTTAATCAGCTTTTGTAGGGTGACCAGACGTTCCTATTTACCCGGGACGGTCCCAGTTTTGAGTCCCCTGTCTCAGCAGATTTATCCAAAACCACTGATTTGTCCCAGTTGTCCCAATTTTTGACTAATTTGATGCCTGTCAATAGTAAAGAGAGGCCAAAACATGAAGAAAATGTGACTATACTGACACGTTCGTCCAAATGGGCCGAGTGCAGAATGATTTTCCTTAATTACGCACTCATTTCATTAAAAAAAATTATAAAATTACCACCACCGGGTGTGTAGTTAATGAATAATGCTCTGTAAAGCGTCACTGAGTGTCCAAAAAAGCACTATATAAAAATTATGCATTATTATTATTATTATTATTATTAATACCAGCTATCATAAACCAGGCGTGTCTCAGTTTTTTATTTTGAAAATCTGGTCACCCTAAGCTTTTGTCAAATACGCTTGATAAAATTTGAGCATTTTAGCATGTAGCTTAACCTCAAGTTTAAATTATATCCACTAATTACTGCCATTTAGCGAACCACTGGGTAATGTTTGCTACGTATCCACTGACAACACTCGCATGTACATTGGTTGGTTGCGAAAAGCCTGTTTAATAGCAAAGGTTAGCTTATTATATTGAGAGTTGAGGTATATTATTGTGCTAACTAGCTAAACAACCAGAATAACTAGCCCAGTGGTATGCTAATGCTGTCTACCCTCGCAAAAACATTACACGTGGTTGTAATTTCGCAGCATGTTGACGTTATTTTTACCGTTTCAATAATATTAAATCAATAATTTGAATAGTGAGGCCTAGCTAGCATAGGGATATCGAATGTCTGAATGACCAAGACTTCAGTGACTTAGCATTTAGCCTAGATAGCACTAATTAGCACAAATCCGTTAATTACTGAACCTGTTGGTAACATTACCTAGCTAGGCCCTGACCATGACGATGCTAATTTCTTCCTAGTCATCAAAACCACCTTTTTAATTCAGAATTTGTAATAGATAGCAGCTACTAGTTAAAATATTTTAAAAACGATTGTGTATCTTGCCCAAAAATGCGAATCCAGTTGAACAATAGGGTCAAACAAACGAGGATTGAGGGATGTATCAAGTATTACTCCCTGAGAAATGCCATCTTTCTCGCGTACCTTAAAACCTATCTATTTTCACTGGCCTATTCAGTAAAACTTGGCTCATATAATAAAAGATTACAAAACTTCAGGCCATATTACACCATAATTCTTCCTCATAATCCGCTCCTTTATGCAAGCAGCGGATGTAACGTTCATCTTAACCTTCCATGGTCAACTTTCCTGGTTCACTTATGACTTATGTGCAAGCTCTTTTCTTCTTCTCTATAGATTTTTCTTCTGGACTAATTATTGGCATCTATGTGAACCGCGTCGGCCTTGACACTCCGGTAACAGGGAGTAGCGCTAACTATCCCCCGCTAACTCTTGACGTCAACATAGCACCAATGAGCTAAAGCACACACACATCCTCTTGTAACATACCGAGCTACTGTGCAAGCACCACGGATTGGGTTAGATGGAAAATAAATGAGTTATTGCTACAGATGTTGAACTACATGACTGCAGGAGTTGTGATAGTGCTGTGAAGGCATTAGCATAAGGAGGGTGGTAAAATGATGCCGACCAGGTTTCCTCGGTAACGGTGGTGATGATGTGAGTAGCCCTTTAAGTGTGAAGTCTGAAGGATGGAGGTGACACTCGTGAGAACACGCGGGTACAAACATTTGCTCACTCACACAAACATTTTAAAAGCATTATCTAAATCAAACCTTAACAAGGCTCAATACAGAAAATTCCACAGTTTCTCAAAATCTTCTGTAAAAAACTCATGAGCGTTTATTGTCTTCAGAGCTCACTAATATTAAAAACAAAACCTGGGGTGTCGACACCACGCAGTACAAAATACAAGAACCAAACCAGTTTAAAAGCTAGTGTCCCGGCTCCTCCAGAGGAGTGGGCAAAGAGGAGGGTCTCTCTCTCTCTCTAAGTGACCAGTTTGGGCAGGACTGTGCGCAGTGGGATAGCGTCACCCGAGTCTCCCATCATGGTGCTGCGCAGTTTGCTGGTGGCGGTGGTCCCCAGGCCGGGCCCCCCTTTGGCCAGGATGGAGGGGAAGGAGGTGCTGTGCTGCTCGGGCAGCCGTTTGACCGTTGGGCCCTGGGTTTTGTCAGCAGGTATTGGCTTGGGCAGCCTGCGGTACAGCCAGGGGTGTCTGAGCGCCTGGGTGGGCGTGAGGCGAGACGATGGGTCCCAGTCCAAACACTTCTTTATGAAGTCAGTGAAGGTGGCGTCCTCGCAGCCTTTCAGGGCAGTGCTCCACTCCTTAGAGCCCGGGGGACCCCTCATTTTACCCCTCCTAGAGCGGGAGCCCGTGAGCACCGTGGCTCCAGTGGGCAGCGTGTTGGCGCCGCAGTAGCGCGGGTGGCCTTTGGAGTTGATGAAGTTTTTGGCTCTTTTGGCCTGTTCCAAGACCTTCTGAGGAGGCATTCCCAGCAGCTCCATGACGCAGGCCAGCTGGTCGCTCTCATCCTCCCCGGGGAACAGGGGGTATCCCGTCAGCAGCTCTGCCAGGATACAGCCGAAGCTCCACATGTCGATGGGCAGGCCGTACCGCGAGCCCAGGATCACCTCTGGAGCGCGGTAGAACCGAGACTGGATGTAGGTGTAGACGCGCTGGTGCTCGAAGCAGGAGGAGCCAAAGTCGATGACCTGAGGAGAGAGAGAGTGTCAATAAAACTGAATACAACACATATTCAGACTCATGTAAGAGCAGAAGCATCACCTTGATGCCACTGCGCCCCTGCTGTTTCAGAAGGATGTTTTCGGGCTTCAGGTCACAGTGGATGATGCGGTGGCGGCTCAGAGCCTCCAGACACTGCAGGATGGAGTGGGCGAACTTTCGGACCAGGGGCAAACTGAAGCCCTGGAACTTGTTCCTCTTGATGAGCTCATAAAGGTTCATGCTGAGCAGTTCAAATGTCATGCAGATGTGGTTTCTGAAGGTGAAGTTCTCGAGCATGTGCACGACATTCATGGAGCCACTGCGGTCCTGTCGGCGCAGGTGCTCCAGGATGCGTATCTCTTCCTGTGCCTGTCGGTGGAAACGCTTCTCGTTTCGCACCATCTTCAGAGCCAGGTGCTGCTGCGTCTTGTGGTCGTAGACTTTGGCCACCTGCCCAAAACTGCCCTTCCCAATGATCTGAGAGGAACATAAAAATACATAAAATATAAATAAATATATAAATAGCTTAGTTAAAATACAATATAGTAAACTTCCACAGTATTGTTTATCGTACCTTGAGAAACTCATAGCGGTAGGCCAGATGGTCGTGGGGTACATGGATGTAGCCACCTTGCTCATCGTCGTAGCCACTGTTGTTGCTGCCTCCAGCCACTGCGGGGCGCTTCTTGGCGTTGGGCCCCACAAAGTAAACATCTCCGTAGGAGAGGATCTCCGAGTGCTCGAGGGAGGAGAGCTGAGAGCGGTACAGCCTGAGGGCCTGGTCCGGTGTGAGAGGGCTGCACTTACTCCCGTTACCACTGGACGACTCGCTGGAGCCTTTGTTAGACTCAGAACTGGAAAAACACAAAACAAGTCAGATGAGCAACCAATGCCAAAAAATAAAGCATTGTCAAACATTTAGTATATCGGCAATACATTTTCCTGCAGGAACAATCAAGTGTGCCTTAACCTTCACTTTTCAGGTGGAGCTTATACTGCTTTGCCAAGAAAGTTTGACAGTATGGCTATAGTTAGCAATAGTTTTTGGTACTAGCACTAACTTTTTTCAGTAGTGCACTGGTACCGTTTAATAGTAGCCAGCCCTCCACTCAATAACACGGCAATCTAGGGCACAGTGTGATGGAAATTAGCATTTAGCCAAAATCTATAGTTCAGATCTGGGCTGTGGCAACCTTTTACCATTACAGCCCTCTACCTGCCAGCGCTCAACTGTGAGGCAATATACGTCCACAGAGAGAAATAATTGTTTGATTCTTCCTTCAAAGACAGAAGCAAACGTCTCCCAAAAATTGTAACCTCCTGTGACATTTCTCTCATCTGTCTCACCTGTCCGTGCTGTGCTCCTTGGACAGGGCGGGGGCGGGCGCGGTCTTGTTGGGGGTGCCATTCTGGGCCGTTGCCGTGGAGATGGCATTGACTTTGCGATTGTTGGTGCTGTCCTCGTACAGGTACTTCACCTTCAGAGCTCCACCACGAATTGAAACCTGGTCCCTCATCACAGTCTTGTTACTCACCACCTGAGAACACAATAAAGGTTAAAATTAAAGAGTTATTCAAATATATATGTATAATGCGAACACAAACATCTCTTAATGCACTTGTCAGCCAATACCAAAGTAACGATTATCATGGGTTTCCCGTTACATTTGGAAGTCATTTTTACTTTTGACCATATTTTGTTTTGAACTGCCAATTACCATGCCAACTTTCCTGATTTTCCATCCCTCTGAAACCCATGGATAAAACAATAATTGAAAAATTATAATCTGAATCAAGTCAACCAATGCCATGTATTGAAAAACTTGACAAATGACTCTAATGTATTCATAGCTGTCAGCTTCCTGTTATAAGTGGTACTTTTCCTTTTGACTATTCTGAAATAATAATAATAATTCTGAATCATCAATTACCATGATGACTTTCTTAATTTCACGAAGCCCATAAATAGAACTGTTAATAAAATATATTTCAAGTACATTGTTGAAAATATTTGCTATCACTGCCTTTAATTACAGTCTATAATTGGCCCTTGCCACTAACAAAGTTAGGGGCGAGGGGTATTGTTCTTCGTCGGTTTCTTTTTTTTTTTCTTTTCTTTTTTTTTTTATTCCCTTTTCCGACCAAACGATCGCATTTTTGACCCCCTGAACATGGACGAAAAGTCCCCAAACCGGGGTCCAGATCGATCGGCCCGGCGAAAAATTCGATAAAATGGGCATCGCGACAATGACCCGAGTGACCCGACTCAACAGCGCCACCTAGAATTCGACCCCTATGGGACTAGGGACAAACAAAGTTTGTCGCAGGGAAACGAAATTCGGGACAGTGATAGAGAACAATGAGACAAGCCAAAAGATGAACTGGAGCATGACCCTATGACGAACAGGAAGTCGGCCATATTGGATCATTGGGGTTTGGTCCAAATGAGCTCAGATTTGACATGTCACATCTACAGACATAAACTCACAGAAATTTTCAACTTTTTTGGAATATTCCTTACGGTTCGCCCGTGTTTTATAATTGAGTTGTTTTGTAAGTGTTGCTGTACTTACTGTTACGCAGATAAAAAGTGTGACCTACTCTGTGAAATCTACTCTGTAAAGTCTCCTCTGTGAAGTCTACTGTTTGAAATCTTTGTACGATTTGCTCTGTGTCAAGCTCAGCTAAATGTGCCTTTTCCGTTAAGCGATATGTGATTTTCGATTTGTGATTTGCGATTTGCCTACTCTTATAATCTCCCCGAGGCCAAACAAAGCTTTGAGTTAAAGCCCACAAAGCTTTGAAGTTTAGCTTTGAGTTCCGGAGTTGCCATGGTAACAAGGCTTTATGGAACTTTACATGTATGATGTCATCGGCGCCGTGAACCTGATGGAACTGGGAGGTTTTCAGGTTCTAGAATGTGATGATGTCATACTCCCAGACGGGGCAAGAGCCACGTTTCCCTGTTGACTGAGGCCGAGTGTTGTTAAGAAGTCACTGATATGAGACAAACCTCGATACACATGAATACAAGCAAAAAAGCCCATTATGGATATGATGCATTTTCCACCATTGGCCAGCAGGGGCGCAAAGACTCCCCCAAGAAATAGTTAAAAAATTATTATATGCCCATGTTTAATCGGATCGTGCTGAAATTTGAATCAATAATGCGTGATCTGAGCCTGAATATAATACACTATAAAACATATGACAAGTGAACTCCATAGCGCCCCCTACCATAGACATAACATTATTGGATTTGTACCAAATTCAGGGAATAAGTTCTATGCATGATTATGAGCAAAAAAAATAAAAAAATAACGGACATGGTGCATTTTCCACTGTTGGTCAGCAGGGGCGCAATGACTCCTAAAAATATTTAAAGGTGCATTATGGAATGTGTCTAATCGACGAGCTGTCGGCCTGGGCGGATGTCGGGAAGAGAGGGTGGCGTGCCGGGACGGTCGCGAGTCCCCGGAGGTCGAGTGGGGGGGTGGTGCGCGCCCGGGGCGAGGGCCACCATCGCCGCGCGCGGCTTTAATTCAATTTAATTTTTTACCCATTTGAAAAAACAATGTCTAATGTTTATAAAATGTCTACTGTTTACTGTTAATCATTGTATCCTATTTTATTATGATATTTGACTGCGTGTGCTCATTTTCTTGCCATTTTTTAAACTTTGAGTAGCAACACTACAATTTCCACATGTCGGACAAATACATTTTAACTTAAATAGAATATACTCAAGCATATATATTCCTCTTGCGTCATACTTCCAATAAAAATATTTGAAAATAAATAGAGAACTGTCAGTCTGTTTAGAGCTCGGTAAAAACAGGTTATTGATCAGTAAAGTAGCTGATCAGAACAGAAAGAATGACATCAGACCAGTACTGTAGCCACATTGTTTTACAGTGAAGGGGGCTGGGATGGGCAGTTACCGTTGAGCTTTTCACTTAATTGCGCTTTAAGAGGCAGGTTGAAAACAAACAATAGCCCAGTGTCCATTCACATCATGTCCTCTGATACAAAGAAGTCATTTGAATGTGGCAGCGACATCGCCTCGGATTACAACCATCGCTGAGATAGCCATGTTTAAAGTTCACCAGCAGACTGCGGGGCCTACAGCAGCTCGACAAGCAGGACTGGTTTAAGGCAAAGCAACAGAGATAGCAACAGAGATGGTTATCAGCGGTGAAACTAGTTCAACTTAACCAAACCTGTATCATACCTGTGGCTAAATACAGCAACAACTACAGACAGAACACAATAAAGTAGAACTGGACAAAAATAAAATAGGAAATCTCATGTAAAAAGTGACTAAACATAAAATAGGTGAAATAAATCAACAGAAAGTTATAGTCTAAGAAAAAAAGACTTTAAAAGGGCCTGTACACATTTTTTTGTATGTATCTGAGTTTCTGTATATGTCTTTTCTAGTACAGATATATGGTATAAGCAGCTCTCAGAGTAAAAAAAACAAACAAAACTGCTGAGTACTGTCTAGACCTAATTAGAAGGCATTTTATAGTCAGATGAGTGCGCAGTTATGCTAGTTGTTGTTACGGTGATGGCAAGAAAGCACATAAATTCATCACAGTGAGAATGCGTAAAGAATTGTTGAATAAGTTGTGTTTTTTATGTTTTTAAAGGGACAGTCTGGAATTTTGGACATGGGACCTGATTTCCTAGTGAGCCAGAGTGTTGGAGATGTGAGAAGACACTTTTTAAAATATTCCATCCAGTCCTTGTATTTGCAGAAGTGCTTTGGTGCTAGGCTAGTGCATGTCGATGGCCATAGTTATACTGCCACTAAAAACAGTCTTACCCACTCCACAAAACACCTGAGGCAAATCTATTATTACATCAGACTGCCCATGTGAATGTCTATGTTGATAGAATAATATTTGAAATAAAACTAACCTTGCATCGCATGAATTGTTGCACGCTGTGGGACTATTTTCTCATATATCAGTCCGCGTTCCTGTACTCAGGAAGTACAACTCGCTGCTGCTGCTCAACCATAAATCCTTCAAACACAAGGTTGGTTTTACTTCTAAAATTATTCTATCGACTCAGACATTCACGTGGACAGTCTGGTGTAATAATAGATTTGCTTCGGGTGTTTTGTGGAGTGGGTAAGACTGTTTTTAGCGGCAGGATAACTATGGCCATTGACATGCACTAGCCTAGCACCAGTGACCTCTGCAAATACAAGGACTGGATGCAATATTTCAAAAAGTGTCTCCACACGTCTCCAACACTCTGGCTCACTAGGAAATGAGGCTCTATGTCCAAAATTTCAGACTGTCGCTTTAAAACACAAAAAAATCACAAACAGCACCTCTGATGTTTAATAGACAGTATTAAGTAAGTTATGCCACAATAAGGATAGTAATACAATCCATCTCATTATTATTATTATTATTATTATTTCCAAATCTGATTTTACACACTGCCAATGACATTAGAACCCAAATGATTATCAGGAGTTTCTCAAATAAGATCATTCAGCATTTCATTAGATTAAAAAGAATTGTAATGTAGTTTTGAGCTCATGTAACTTTGTGTTTCTGTGACAATCTAGCAACATTGTGTTTACAATTAACAGTTCTCAAAAGTCCTTAAAAATGTCTCCTATAAACAGGACGTGGAGTCTCGTTACAAAATACACCAGCAGGCTAATATTGGAAAAGCGCAGTCAAAATTATTTTTCTTCCAAACCAGGGCGTACAGGTCAAAGAACTCTTGTTGTAAACTGTAATTTTGGAGGAACCCCAGGAATTTGTTCTTACTCTCAGTCTCTCTCTGTCTCTCTCTCTGCCTCCTCCTTCGCTGACTTCTCCTTCACCCCCTCCCTCGCTTCCTGTTTCTCTCTCCCTTGGTATCACTGCTCGCACGGCATATTCTCTTTACCTCTCTCCCCCACTCCTTTATCTCCCGCGCTCTCTGCTCTATCTACCTCTCTTCCTCCTATTCTCTTTTCCCTCGCATTCTCTCTCTTTCTCTTCCTCTCCTTTATTCTGTCAACCTCTCTTCCTCCTATTCTCTCTCCCTCGCCCTCATATTCTCTCTCTTTCTCTTCCTCTCCCTTATTCTGTCTTTCTTCCTCCTGTTTTTCTCTTCCCTTCACTCTGCCTCTCCTTCCTCCCTCTCCACCTCTCACTCCTCTATCTCTCCCTCTCTCTTATCCTCTCTCCTCTATCTCCCTCTCTCCAATCCTCTCTTCCATCGCTCCCCTATCTCCGATCCTCTCTCTTCTATCTCCCTCACTTTCTCTCCTCTATCGCTCCCCTCTCTCATTCTCCTCTTCTCTCTCTCTTCCTCCTCTCCTCTATCTCTCTGTCTCCTATCCTCTCTCCAGTCCTCTCTCCTCTATCTCCCTCTCTCTCTCCTCTCTTCTCCCTCCCTCTCTCATAACCTATCTCTCTCCTATCCTGTATCCCCTCTCTCCCTCTCCTATTCTCTCTCCTCTGTCTCCCTCTCCTCTCCGATCCTCTCTCCTCTATCTCTCTCCCCTCTCTCGCATTCTCTTATT